ATAGAATAGATTTTGCATAAATCTCAAAAAGTCGAAATACCTCAAAAATCCAAAATCAATTTTGGGAACATGTATAGACTAAAATTTTCAGAATTAGTCACTATAGAAGTTGAATCGTCAAAATTTTTTAACGGCATTAATCACTATAAAAAAAGTTATAATACCCTAAACAAAAGTTGGTTAACACTCAAAAATATAATGATAAAAGTAGCAGATCAAATTATACCAAAATATAAATGGAAAAAAAAAAGATCATTAACTCCAAATATAATTAGAGAATTTCGCATTGTAAAACTGTTAAATAAAATATATAGGCTGTTTAATACGGAATGAGCAAAATCAATTAAAACAATTAAAAATAGTGAAACATTTAAAAAAGAAGAAAGGAAACTGAATATGCTAAACTATAGTATAGAAAAAATTTTTAAAAAAAACAACACAAAAAATTTTGATATAGGTGAAGCATTAAAAGCTGAAAGTATTATTCATCAAAAGATTGCCAAAGCAAAAGAAAAAAGCGAGTCAATAAAACAAATACAAAAGGCAATTGAAAAAAGATGGGAAGATCTAAAAGATAATTCGAAGTGTATAATAGATAGCGTATTAGATAAATCACATAAATCAATAGTAATGAATCATATTGAAAAAGAGATATCAGATAACAATACAGTAATAATTACGGAAGACAGTGAAATTAAAAGAACATTTTCACAATTGGACGAGAAAAAGAAACACTAATTCCAGGCTACTCAAAAAATGGAAAACAGAATATACACCACTTAAAGAGATTGATAACTCGTGATATAACACCTTATATAATGAGGTTAATATAGACAAATTGGAGACAGCAATTCAATCTCTATCAAATAATAAAGTACTAGGGCAATTCAATCTTCAGTATGAGTTGTTTAAAAACCTCTCACAAAAAGGTTTAGATATCTTTCGAAATATAGTAAATGACACACTACTATTAAATGATATTCTTAAAAAGTGGAAAAAAGGCTATATTTATTCAATACCCAAAACTACTGAGTGGGGTAATAATCTAAATATTACAAGACTAATCACATTATTAAAAACAAGTAGAAAAATCTTCATGAAAATCATAAATAACAGATTATCAGCTATTTTTGAGAAATGAGAAATTTTAACAAAATACAATTATGCAGGATTGCTAGGAAATGATACACAAGGGCCTATACACATTATAAACAACATCATGGAAGATGTTCAAACTAATAACAAAGAACTATGGCTCATGTTTTAGGATATGAGCAAAGCATTCGACTCAGTAAATTCAGACTGTTTAATTTTGACAATACATCATATCAAAATACCTAAAAGATTCATTCATCTTATATCTAGGTTACTAAAAAACAGTGAAAATAAAGTTATTACGGTACATGGAAATACTGAGTCATATAAAGTTGAGGATGGTATTGATCAAGGGGACATCAATTCACCGTTAATGTGGTGAATCTTTTATGATCCACTTATAAATCGTGTAGCAAAGTCCAAACTGGGTTATACAATGAAAGAGAGCTGGATAAATAATTTGTATTACAAAATACAAGCGAATATAAACTGTGAGTTAGCAGTTGCAGTATATGTAGATAATACAAATTGGTTCGCTCTTAGCAGAGAAAAAATGGAAAAAATCCTTGACATTACTAATGAGTTCTATACAATAAATGATATTGAAATCAATAAGTCAAAATCATATCTAATAGTAATCAATATGGAAAAAGTAGATAAGGATACAGGTGTCAATATAGGCCATAATAATTTAAAACCAATCGGCAGTAATTTTTCTGTTCGCTCTTTGGAGATATTCGTAACTGAGAGTGGGTTAAAAAAATTCCAAAAGGAGTACATGAAAAAAATAATAGACTACATGGCAACCATTCTAAGGGAAAAACAAACTACAGATAAACAAGTGATATATATCTTTAATGCGGTAGTTATTCCAATGCTAGAATATAGTTTAAATGACATGGCGCTTACAGAAAAGGAGTGTAATAAAATTATATCTAGATTTATAGTGGTAATCAAAAATAAAGCATGTCTGACACGCACATCACCTAATGCTTTAATTTATGTGAAAGAGGCATATGGAATATGCTATCTTTGGAATAGACAATTATAAATACAGAATAATAATTTACTAAATCGCATTAATGATAAGGGGATACTAAGCTTAACAACACGTATTAGGTTACAACAACTACAAAATATGTTCTGGTCAGGTAACGTAATAACTGAAACATTAGATTCAATTAAACTAAAAAGAGGTTATTCATTTCTCAACGAGGTTTTAATAATATGTAAACAAAATGAAGTCACCTTCAAATTATCAAATAACGTAAAAGAGAGTTTGTTGATTAAAGGAGGTAAAATCATCATTGAAAAATTAATAAAAGGTTTTGATTGTTATGGTCAATACAGACAGAGTCTACGAAAGCGAAAACTCTTATTTGTGAAACAGATCTTATCATTTAATGGCCATAAACTATTACACTGGCAAGCTATCAAAGATGGTGTAAGAAAGGAATCAAAGCCAGGATGGTTTAAGCTTGTTGAAAGGATACTTTTATTAAATAATAATGATAGAAACATTATTACCAGTAATAACTACAACAATATGAAATACAAATATAATGCATGCAACTGGAATATTATTAAAAAAAGTAAAGAGATCAGTTGGTTAGTGATACAAGATAATAATACATTACAACCAATTTTGGATAAGAAGAAAAAGGTCATAAATGAGAGTGAATTTACTATGATTTATTACATAAACAAATTCTCACCAAATGGGACAGAGAAATCACCACTCAGTAAATATAAAGGGTGCACTCATAAAGATGAATCACTATCAAGTAATTTTAAAATAATGAGATATGTTTAATCAAAATGGATGTAACACAATCTGTTAATATTAACATAATTAAAAATTAAGTCTCAACTAGAGACACACCAACAAGAGATAATAAAATTCGTTTGAGATCAGAAAATGAACCATCTTGGATAGACTTAATAATATCAAAAACAATAAATTAAATATGACACAAAATAATAGTAACACACAAGTGTTATGTATCCCAGAGATATACATTAGAAATACAATAACTGAATTCTCATGTCTACACCCAAAATACAGTAATTTTTGGATGGATGAGATAATACAGAAGGAATTGGATGAAATCAGGATAGCTATAAATAATCACAGAAAAATTGACATCTATACAGATGGTTCTTTAAGTTTATCAACCGATAATAATGAAGAACCTTTGATGGATTGTGGATGGGTTATTATAATTAAAGAACAAATTAAACACCAGCTTTGTGACCAGGTTGAAAATTTCATTTTATCTACTCGGGCTGAGTTAATGGAAATACTTTCAGCGGTATATGCTATGTCAAGAAACACAAAATTAAACATCTATACAAACAGTCAGGCTTCAATAGTAGCTATTAATAATGGCCTAACAAATAAGAATAAATTATTTTGTAAAATTAAAAATTGGCAGTTAATTTAGTCAATTATTGAACTAACACAAGTTCATAATATTAATTTATACTTATATAAGGTACAGGCACATTTTGTATACGTGTTGCCCAAATCTCAAATTATTTGGGATTTGGGATTTGAGATTTCAGCAAAAAATACTAATCATAATTTGGGATTTGGGATTTGGGATTTCGGCATTTGAATTTTGAATTTGGGTGACAAGTATAACATTCTGAAGTGACTTTTAATAAATGAGTAGATGAAATAGCTAAAAAGGGAATTCTTAAGTCAACATGTATACACAAAATTGGAAAACTAACGTTAGTTAATGTAATTGGATGTTGAAAAAATATCGACATAGAGGTCTCCTTCCGTGGATTTGTGAAAAAGCTGGGTACAACAAAATTTACAGTTAACTGGAGATTGTTAAATAGGAATAGAAACTCAATATCCAATTACAAAAGTCAAAATATTAACTGGGAAATCATGTGGAATACAATAACATTATCATATAAAGAAAAATCTATAACAAATAACAAAGAAAATAGAGAAAGAGCTTTTAATATGAAATTGCTCAACAATGAATTATCTACAATGGAGCGTATGTACAATAGATATCTAAAGATATATAAAAATAATAAATGCGTGTGATGTAATAATAATATTACTGAAGACCAGCTACATACATTCACGTGCAATTCAAATTTAGTAAATATACAAATGTACAAAGATAAATTTATAAATACTCTGATAGATCAATTTAATAAGATAGCTAAAAAGAAAACAAAACCTAATAAACTCAAAGACGAAATTCATGGATTAAGTGAACTAAAGTAGTCTGAAGATGAAAAGAATTATGACAAAAATGAATTATCATTTCTCGACATCATCATTGGACACATTCCCAATTCATTATACAATAATATATTCTCACAAACACAAAACAAAAAAGAAGTATTCAAAATTTTTGAAGAGACAATGTTAATTTTCAAGGAATATATAAGAACAAATATTTGAAATTAGTGCTGTAAAATTGTAAAACAATGTGAATTAGAAAACGGAATCAAAAACATAAATAAAAGAAAGATTTTAAATCAAAATGATGAAGTGATCACTACTGATAACAATAACCGTAATAATAATAGAGATAATAGCAATGATATCAGTAACAATAATAACAATATTAATAATAAAAACAATAATAATAATAGAGATAAACATAGATAACTGAAAAACAATTGCTATGATGCAGTTAGTAAATATATTTTATCATTAGTAAAATATAATAAACATTGGTCAAGTATATATAATATAGGCTGTTCAGCAGGGCTTTAACAAGCTGTTTATGACTGTTGTTATCTGGCAATAGGTTGCAGGTGTGTTTCGTGTTAATCTTAGGATAGACAATTTGAATTAGTCTGAGTCTTATCTTTTCAATAGTTATTAGAATAAGTTGTGTATTTTATATTATGTAATAATAATGTAGAAGACTTTCTCTTTTTTTAGTTAATAAATTTGAGACAAAACCTCGCTGAAACTTAAAAAAAAAAAAAATCACGTTGCTTATTAATATTAGAATTTTTTTTTGATTCTTTATTGAAACAATCTCTTTGAGAACAGTAATAATAATATGCTATTTTTTTTTGATTTCTTTAATTCATATTTACTTTGATACCTTAAATTATAATAATTAAAATAATAATTTATTAAATAAATAAATAAAAATTATATTATATTTACAAAAATAAAAATTTAAATTATATTAAATTAAATTTATAAAATAAAAATTAAAATTAACTTACACCCATATATATTTATCTACATCAGATATTATTTCAACAATATGGCCAGCGCATTCTTTGGAATTACCATTTAAAGTAGAAATGTTCAAAATACACGAAACTTTAAATTCTTATATATTGTTATTTTCTTGATCCTTATCATTATTGACTATATTTTCAAATTTCTCAATAATAAAGTCAATAAAATCAGAAAAATTAATCAACATTTGATCATCATTTTTTTTAATTTTTTTGTTGCACATCTATTTTGTATACGGCAAGTTTTGCAAGTCCGAAAAGATTTTTTATTATTGATAAATAAATTTAAAGGCAAATTGTTTTCACATCCTTTACAATAATGTTGCCTATTATCAATATTATTATTGAATATAAGAGAACTTGAATTCATATTTGATATTATCTGTGAATATTAAATAATAACTAAT